AAATCCCTCAGTCACTTGCATCAGGTTAACCTTGCCTGTTCCCTGGGTCTTCTGCCACTGGGCAACGAATATTTGCTTCGTCTTCCTTTAAGGGGCCGTTCGCGAAACCTTCCCAAACAATCGCAGCTGTAAGTTATCAGTCTCAAGAAGCAACGGCTGCACATCAAAGATCTCACGAATTCTTATGCTAAGGTCATTGTCGAGACCCACAGTATCAGCGATTCGTCTCAGAAAACCCATTTCAGCTGCTTGTACCGGCGATTCAAGTTTTTCAGCCATGGACCACGACTCACGACCGTAGATAAGCATGAAGATAAAGATATTTGAAAACCGAGACCTTAGTCTTCAGACTCAGTAATGCTTTAGTCAAAATGGTTCGGGCTAGTTCACGCAGAACACCACTGGCTACTGCATTTCGCTGGTCGATTTGTTCCTCGAATTTTCTATCACTAGTAAATACGATTCCGAGGTACTTGAACTTCTCCACCTGCTCCACTGACTCCGTTAATTTGAAGGGAGCAACGGGCAGGAGAGGGAGAAATCACTAGGCTTTTCGTTTTAGATGCGTTCACATCCACGCCGGTCACGTCGCATTGGGCTTAGAACCTTTCCAGAGAGCACTGTAGATCAGTTTCATCACAAACAGGCGAGGGGGCAGGACCAGCTCCTGCTCTGTCCTTCTGAGTGAGGATATGTTCCAGTTTCTGATTATAAGCTTTCACTGTCGACATCGTTCTGATAGAACCTTATCTGACATGTTATGATGGTATCACACTGTCTCTATCCTCCGTTTAGAACGGACAGCAGCTCTGTTGCGATTGTATCCTCTTGGTCGTTTTGTAATCTTTGGCAGCCTTTGTAGTATTGCTACGCCCCCGACGCCAGAAGACGATTAGCAGCTTCTGGTCGCCGAGTTTTCTTAACCTGTTTGAATTTCGTAATGGTTTGCGCGACCCTTGGTGTCCCGAGTACAACTTAGTTGATATGATGTTCGATGACGGAAATACCATGAGACCGCCCCACTGCCTGTAGCTTTTCTCCTCTCTTATCTGGCTTGAAACCGGCAATTCCGGAGTTCACAAAATGGTATTAAATCCTAATAGAAGATCCGTCTACTTACACTACCATCCGTAACCTTCAGGTAACCAGGAAACATTAATTCCGCATACATGGTTATTTAAATGATTCATGATTAGGGGTACCAAATACTACAGATGGTAAACAGTTTTATGCCAACGCGTTTCACTACATGGACCGTAGCATCATTAGGACTAGACTAAGTACAAATGACTGCTTGAAGGTATTTATGCCCAACAGACGAAGAGTACCAATTTTCCAACTGGCTCATGCAGTCGTGACGTTGTTAAGCTGTCGCATCAAAGTAAATCAAATCTTTGTCATTTTGACTTGATTTTCCGTTTGATTATCAGTTTTGTGACTGCACCCCAGCTTTCTCTGATAACAACGAGGATATGTATTCATTACATATCCGGTCGTTTTGTTGCCTGTACCTGCAAGGATTCCTTTATCAACATACCAAATTTAGATTGGTCTTTGTATGTAACGTACGCATTTGTCTGACTTAAAGAATGCCATTCAGTAATTGCATGTTGGACAGTGCGGACTTCAGAAAGGTGCTCCAGGTGCTCAATTTCCTTTTGGTCTTTCCATTGTACACCTTGTCACAGTTTCTGCATTGAACTTTGTATACAACATTTAGCAATTTTTCAGGGTTATTAATGGGCATGTACTTTTTAAATAAAATGTCGTCTATTGTTCTGACAATCTTGTAGTAGCCCCTTAACGCCATGTCTTTTAGGTACCTCGTGATACGTTTAGATACGTGGGATATGAGCGGTAAAATTACCATGGCTCCAAATAAACTGGCCAACTTTAAATTTGAGCAGGGTGTCAGTGATCCTCTTTCGGTAACCGTTCTTTAGAACCGCTTGGAGAACATGTTGAATTTCTGCATTATTCGTATTATTCGCAAAACTACGCCAGAACTGCTAGTTTTGCGAATATACAGACACTGAAGCGCCGGATGTACAACGAACTTATATCTCTTGTCACCTATGAAAGCTCGGTGCAATCACAGAATTGATGCACAAAATTCGGTCAAAATAACAAAGATCCTATTCATTGCGGTGTAACATTACACTTTGTTCAGTCAATGTAACAACGTCTTGACTGTATCAGATGAGCCAGTTAAAAAATTGGCATTGTTCGCTTGTTGGACATA